TGCCCGGGGGAGGTGGGGGGGAAGGCGCCGAGAGCAGGTCGCTGCCCCCCCTCCCCCGCTCTCTTCCTCTTCTCCGGGGCTGCCAGCGTGCCGGTGAAGCGGGTGTGTGCGCTCCCCCTCCCGCCTCCCCTCAAGGCACCTGGACGCCAAATGTCGCCAGCCACGTGCTCCTCCGTGAGGAGAAACTGCCCTTTTTGCGGGAGCGAGGGGGGCCCCCGGGGCCGCCTCGCTGTCTCGTCCCTGAGCTGCAGGGCATTGCCTCGTCCGCCTGAGCACAGCGCGGGGGCTCTGCCCGCCGAGAAGGTCCCCAGGTCCGAGGCTTTCTGCAATAAAATAAAAACGTCCCTGGGAGAACTCCCTGACTTGCATGTTTGATGAGGAGGTGGGAAACAAAATCTGGGTTCCACATGTGTTGTACTGCAGAACAGTGGGAGGGAGGACTGTGGCCTGTTTGTGCTGCTCTTTAGTTAAATCCTGCCTTCGGCTTCACGCGGGTCTCTGTCCTCTGCTGGTGTCGGTAGAGGACAACGATCGTGTGGGTAGATTGACAGGGTCTGCCCTAGAAACTTCTGCCAATTTAGTAACATTGCTTCAGGATGCCACGCATTTAAAACCGATGCTTTCAAGCTAGCTCAAGTCCTAGCATGGTTTATCATGCTAGTTTGTTCTTAGCATAGCTTATTTGCTGAAGGAACTGTTGTTGATGTAGCTTCTACAGCCTTATATATATGTGTGTGTGTCTATATATATATGAATATATGCTGATAGAACTAGAACACTAAGTCATTTTCAGTGCAGACAAGGGCGGACTGAGGAGGGGCTCACTGGTGAGATCAGCTGTAGGAGGAGCGTGCCATTGAAGTAGATGACCAATCTTTAAAATTTAACTTTGATACAGTAACACTGTTGCTCTGGGTTTTAATGAAGGGAATGAAGTCATCCCTTGGAGACTATGATCAAGCGCGTATAAAATCTTCTGTTTGTAACTTTGGCTAGCCACAGCTGGTGCAGAGAGCTAGGATTACAATGCTGCTAATATTTTACGTAAACAAGACAGGTACCGGGGTCTGTGAAGAAGCATGGCCGAGTAGAAGTACTCCTGTGCTTGATTATTGGTTGTGGCATTAAGGAAGCCAGAGAACTTTTGGCAAATACAGTTTACTGGCATCCTGTGCTTGCTGTTGAAATACTTCCCTGAAGAATGAAATGTGGGAGCTGTTTTCTGACAGGCCCGCAGGCATTAAGGGCAGAAATTAAGTATGCAGTGCAAAATTGAAATGAGAACCTTAGGAGGCAGTATCATCTTCAGAAAGAATATTTATCTTCTTTTATTCTGGCAGGCTGTGAAAAACTGTTAGTAAACGGGCCAAGGATAGAATTCAAATTGCAGTAAAATGTAGTGCCTTTCAGTGCTGTGACTCAGATTATCTTTGTGATCTCCAGGGTTAGCATCATTACATCCTTATTCTGAACAAAAGATCTGACAGGGACTGAGAAGGTTCTTACGTTATTATGGTTGAGTATTATGCCCCCTGTAATGAGCATGCTTCTGGTCTGTCATGATACATACCAGTTAATCGTTTATTTTTGTAGGTAAGCGACATTTGGTGTTAATGTGCAAGAAAACAACAAAATGTAAAATCATTGTGTGTCTTCTTAGGCCATGGTGAGGAGTACATTGATGAAAAAATGAAGTGTTCTTAAGATAAATGCAAGACACTGAAGTACAAAGGATGTTTTAAAGTTAAAGAGCAGGAAGCATGAGAGGTGTCATTACAGTAGTAACTACAGCAACTGTTACAGTTAGTTTAAGCTGTGAATAAATTTTGTGTACATTTCTGTGAAAACTGAAGGAGCCTGGATTTTTGTTGCTTTAGACTGCAGATTAAAGTTACAGGCTGCTTTTTCACTAATGTCGGAGGTACTTGTTCAGTCATAGCATAAATCAAATACCTCATTAAAAGTAATAGTAAGAATTCTTCCCTTGTTGATCACCTGAGAAGAGAAGAACTGGGAAGGAGAAGGAAGTAATGGAACTGAGTATTTTTTTTCAATAGTGTGTTCTTCATATGTGTAGGCAAGGGTCCAAGAAATGAGAGGCAGTAAAAGGATGGAGGCAGGGAGAAGTCTGCTGGTTATTTTCAAAATATATGAAAGTAGGAAGAGAAGAGATACGCAGAGGGAGTGCTGCGTAGTTGGGGAAGGAGAGACAATTTCACTTAGCTTTGTTGAATTCGTGACATGTAGTTTGGTTTTACACCTCAACTTTGTATTTTGTGAGGGTTTTTTTTAGTGATTACACCCCTCTCATCCCTCTCCGCCACCAATATATGGTGTAGGCAACTGTCTGTAGCCCAGAATATGCAGACTGGAGGGGTAAAACAGGAAGAGAAACAGGATCATAGCTACTATTTGATTCACTGAAGATAATGACAGAATTGAGATTGAAATACTTCTCAGTCAAGTTATATGTTCTTGAAATTACAATTCTAGTTTTGCTACTTAATTGAAAGTAAGGTGACATTAGGAAGGAGGTATGTCCTTGATTAAACAGTGGCTCTTACTGTGTGATTCTGACCTCAGTGTCAGTGGATGGTTTGCTTTTCAGCTATTGTAAGAGAATACAAATCTTCAAATCTTGGGACAATAATTACATGCTTTTTTAACTTGTCTTGCCAGATACCCAGACTGAGGTGTGCCTTTTACCGTATTGGAACTGAAGCGCTATGGAGCAGTACACGGCGAATAGTAACAGTTCCACAGAGCAAATCGTTGTGCAGGCTGGACAGATCCAGCAGCAGGTATGGAAAGTGATAACGGGTGAGCTGGCGTTGCCAATGCTGAGTTACAGAACTGACTGTACTTCTCAGAGTTTCACAGAACCAGCAAGATGCTTCGTGATACTCTCTGGATAGGTATTTATCTGACTTCTGTCACCTGATCAGTGGTCAGTGGTCTGACTAGGCTTGAAGTCAGACTAAATATGTTTTTAAAAAAATACTTATTATAAAATTAAATTAATAAAATTGCAGGTATACAAGTTACCAAATTTCAGTGTAGTAGGGAGTTTGCAAACTGGTAGTGACATGAGGAAAGTCACAAATCGTCTCTGACAATGGAGGAAAGAGAATATTAATAGAAATGGTCAGTTGTCCACAAGGAACAATGTAGATCTGTGCCCCCCCCGCCAAATTGAAATAGGTTTTGTTCAAGCCCATAGGGGCTTTCTTCAGCTTTCTCAAAATAAGTATTTATTGAGATCCTTTGTTTTAGAACTACAGGTGAATCAAAATGAACACACAGTACAGGAACTGCAACAAAACATGTAGCTTTGGATGAATTCACCCATTTCAGAAAGAAGTTTCTAGTTCATGTTATAATGTGCAGATGAGTAGGGCTGGGTTTTTTAAGGGTTTATAGATTTTTACTGTTGTTAAGCTTCACCCATTCAGATATAGTAATGCATTTTCAGATGAGCTGTGCTGCAGCTGAATTTTTTGTTGCATCTTACGTTTGTTCTGTTTCAAGGCAAGAGGAGTTTCTTAGTTGGTCATGCAAATGAATGAGCCACTGGATTATGTTTTCAGTGAGATATGCTTTGCTTTGTCATCAGCCTGTTTTGAGTGTTTGATAGCAGGGACCAGCTTCTTCCATTGAATTTAGTTGACTTTTTCAGTCAGAACAAGATTGCACGTGAGGTTAAAAAAATTATATATTAAGATTTACCAAAAACTGCTTCCAGCAGATAACCAAAGATATATTTGGTTTTATTGACACTTTGTAGGTAGAAGGGAGGTAAAAACATACTTTGGCTTGTTTCATTTTCAGTACATGCTCTTAAAGCCCGTGTTGTATTTGACATGAAATGTTTTTCTGAAGTAATTTTTTTTAACAGGCCCGTTGTAGTACAGCTTTTAGTAGAGAGATGTCCTTCATCTCCCAAATGCTAACACAGTTAATGCAGATTATTTTGGGACTCTTACTGAAGAGGCTAAAGATAGAAAAGGCTTTTAGATTTAACTGCTTTTGCAACCTCTCAAGATTGTCCTTCAAGGTCAGTAGTGGGAAGACATTGATGCAGGGGTGACATAGATGAAGCTTAGACTGTAGTCATCTGTGCTGCTGTTCTGTGCAGAAAAGAATTTATGGCCTTTATTGTAACTAACAAGTCTGACAAAAGTCTGGAACCCCTTCACAGGAAGAAACCTGCACAGTGAAAGGAAACATTAAGCAGAAAAGTAGCAGTCTAAAACAGTGAAGCTGAGATTTTAAATTCTGCAAAATAACCTCTCCTGTTCTTTGTAAGTGATTTTTGTTTGGGATATTGAAGCCTGTCAGTATCACATGCAGTTTTGTTGGTATTCCATTCTTAGGTGTGCTAAACATATTCACATTGCTTATGTTCCAAGAGCAGTGTGTATGAATTTTAAATTCACCCTCTTCCAGCAAAGTGTCGTCATCTCTTGTCAGAGCTGTGCATTTCCATGTTTCAAGCTATTCCTGTTCCTATTCCCAGCAGCAGGGTGGTGTCACTGCTGTCCAGTTGCAGACTGAGGCCCAGGTGGCATCCGCCTCAGGCCAGCAAGTCCAGACCCTCCAGGTAGTGGTGATCTCTCTAATTGTGTTTGTGAGCACTGCATGACTCTCACCATTGCCACATATCTAATGCTGTGTTTTTTCCAGGGTTTGAAATAGGAACAGGAAGATTTGTTAGCAGTAGTATCTGTGCTTTATGCTAGCTGTAGGGTTTTCCATGAAGAGCATGGGGTTATAGCTTTTCTTTGGATCTCAGGCGCATGCCAGAAACCCTGATGCATTCATGAATTCCTGCTGCTGTAATTCTGAAAGTGAATAGTGGTTGAAATGAGACTTAAAAGGAAAACCCACCAAGATGAGGAAGTAACAGTCAAGAGATATAACCCAAAGATTTCCGTAGTTTCAAGGAGATTAGATTCCTGATATCCACTGTGAGTAGTTCTGTGTCTTCACTATATGAAACAAAGACAGAGAGGAGGTGGATGACCCATGAGCTTGAAGAGTGAGCCTTTTTCATCTGTGATTAAAAAGGGCACCTGAGGACAATATTGGCCTCTGTGAGATTGAGAGATCCGATTTCTTATTTACATGTGAACAACACAGGGAAACCCAGGAGAAGTATGTATCCTAACAGTAAATAGATCGCAAATTGGATAGAAATGCAAGGTTATTTCAAACCCTGATTTGTTTCAATGTCAAGTATTTTCTGTCTTCCAAACTTCATTTCATTAGCTCACATAGGAGGCTTTTGAAGGAGTTGATAAACCCTGGATGGCCATAGCAGTTTAGTGGTGTGCTTTTCACTCAGTATTTTGGTTTTGTTTGTTTTTTAATTCTTCAGAGGAGGAGAGTTCTAAGAGGCTAGAATCGTCTTGCCAGGTGTAAAATTGAACACAGCATTTTTTATGTTCAGAGTTAAAATATGAAAAGCTGGCTGACTTGAGTTGCTTGGGTCACTGTGGCCTCCTGGTCATCGTTACATGTCGTGTCCCCCCCCCCCTTTTTTTTTCTTGCTCTAATACATTAACAAGAATCCTGGAATGCATCATTTTTCTTTCTGCTTATTGGATATTGTACTGCTGACTGTGCTTCTCTGCGGCTGAAATGAGCATGCTTATCTCTCTCTGTTGTAATTCAAAACAAATACTGCCGATTTTTGTTAGGGACTTGTGTGCAGTAGTTACAAGGTTGAGGAACAGAACAGTATCGCAAGGGTATTAGGTGACCTGTAAAGTCACAATATTCTATGTAGGGCATTGATCACTGAGGTACAACTGTGGTTGTTTCCGTGGATGTGTTAGCATATAATTCACTAAGATATTTCAACTATGCAAAGTGAAGCTTTTTTTAGGTAGTTCAGTATGTGCTGAAAATCTGTACTGATGTTTAGCTTGGTATTTTACAGTGGTTGAAGAGTGAGCATTTGCTATTGCATATTCTTGAAAATTTACAAGTAGAAAACCCAAGAACTTGGTGACTTTTTATCATGTTGTGTTGCTCTTGTTTCTAAACAACTCAGAGCATGGTAAAGAGTGATTACCTAGTTCGTAAGACCCATTTCACATTTAAGCTGTGGAGGTATGGTGTTTTTAAAGATATATTTTGGGGAGTCTGGGGACTCAGCAGGTGAGGGTGCTTAAACAGAGAGGTTTTCCCCTTGCTTTTCTTTTCATTGGCCTTTTCCCTAGTGATCAGAGATACACCTGGTCCAAGGGTCCAGAGACTCTTATGCCAAATTTATAAATCCACTGTAAGCCTTATTCGGCGAAGAAGTGGCTACTGCTTATTTTCTTTCACTCTTCCTTACTGAACTACATTTTCTGTTGTTACATTTATAATTTCACTTAATAACCGTGAAAGGATTCTCTAAGACCATCTCATGCTATATATTCGTTAGGAAATGAAAATGTTATAAGCATGTAATTGGACAGAGTTGAAGCTACCTCAGAATCTCTCTGTCAGAATAGCTTATTTAGAGCTTTTTCTCATTAGGAACCCCAATTAAAGATTAGTAATAGTGATGTGGATAATGAAGTTTCTTTTATTACACTTTGCTCTCGGGCTGTGCACGAAGATGGTTATCGTGTCTGGAAAATCTAGCCATGCTTTTCATGCTTTATTGCAATTAGACTTGGAAGTTTTGGTTAGACTGCAACAGAAAAAGATAATTTACTAAACGCAGTAGCACATCATGGAAAATTTTTTAGAAACTAAAGATACTTGATGCTGATTATAAACCCAGGTTAGTGACTGTTGCTTAGTTTCTCTGGTCACCGCATTAAAATAGGTAAGCATTTAGCCTCACGTGGTAGCCACCTCAGTTTCTGGCTTCATGTCACCAGACTTTTTCATTGTTCTGTTTGTTTTTTCTCCTGTTTCCTAGGTCCAGGGTCAACCACTAATGGTACAAGTAAGCGGAGGTCAGCTGATCACATCAACTGGCCAGCCGATCATGGTGCAGGCTGTGCCTGGGGGTCAGGGCCAGACAATCATGCAAGTCCCAGTTTCTGGAACTCAGGGACTGCAGCAGGTGAGATAACCCTAATTTTATTTTAAGATAAATTGCAGAGAACGAACGCTGATGTTCTCACCTTGTCAGATAGTACGTTTGCCTCAGCACTCTTAAAATAAACTGGGCAAAGGCGGTCGTTCTCCAGCTATGGATCTGGCAGTGAGCTGCATGTTAAGGATGCAATGAAAATTCTTTGTGTATTTGATTTTTGTGTTTTATGGGATGGTGCAAACCTTTTAAATGAAGTCCATTAAAATACAGCTGGAGTTGGTTTGGGTTTTTTTGTTTGTTTAGGGGTTTTTTATTTTAACTGGCCCTTGCAGTACAATTGGTGGTCTGATGCCTACTCAATTTATGGCTCAGAAAGACAATTTATTTATTTAAGAAAGCTTCTTGAAAATAGCTCTTGTGCTTGAGTTAATCTAATATGTGATGGCTGAAGGTGAATTTAAACATTTCCATTGCACAGAAGGTAATACTGTAGGAGGTATAGAAGATGGATTTTATTAGAAGCAATTATTTTGAAATAATTGTCTAAAAGACAGTTTTTAAATTTAAACAGGTGCTGAAAGTGTGTTCCTCAAGAGCAAAGGGGAAGAACTCTTAACAGTGGCATAATGAAAGTGTTCTAGTGATTTGAGAATGCGATTTAGGAATCAAGTTCAGCACAGTCCAGGAAGGCATATGATGTCTTGGTGTTTTGAGAGGTTTATTTAGTGTTTATTTAAAATTTCTTTTGTTGAAAAACAATATATTTTGTGTTAGGTTCTCTACAGTCTGGTTGTTGGAGGAAAATCCATAACTGGGTTTTTAAGCACAAGCTTCAAGCCATATTCCAGTTCCTCTTTTTTAATCTAAGAAATGTTCCACATTGGTGGAAAGACTTTTCTGCAAAGCTGAAAACAACTTTTATGTGTATCCAAGAGTACTTCTGTATGCTGCATAATTAACACTCTACAGATATCTTAAATCAGTCCTCTTTTTTCTTTCACCTGAGTAGTATTATTCCTAGTTTCGTGTGAATAATTTATTTCTTTTGACCCTTTTATTGTGTAAGCAGTGGAGAACTGCTAGGGCATAATGACACTAGCATGTTATGTTTCCTCTATTCTGTATGTTTGTGACTGCTGTGTCACAGGGAGGAATAAATTAAAACTCTTCATTTTAAAATGGAAAAAGAGAAGAATCAGTGCTTTCTTTTTCTTTGCAACGGTAAATCATCCTCAGAGATGATCTGGTAATGCTGAGGCCAAGGAGGGAGAAATAAGAGGCATAGTTAATGTTCCTTTCTGACTCTTTCTTCCACAGATTCAGTTGGTCCAGCCAGGTCAGATTCAGATTCAAGGTGGGCAGGCTGTGCAGGTACAGGGGCAGCAGGGCCAGACCCAGCAGATCATTATACAGCAGCCACAGACTGCAGTTACTGCTGGCCAGACACAGGTAACTGCACCAGCATGAAAGGGTTTTCTTGAGAGAAATAGGAAGAGAAACTTGACAAATGACTTAAGGTGTGGTTAAGTAAAAAAAGGGAAAAAAAAAAAAAAAAAGGAGGAATTATTAATATTGAGGAGAACTTGAGAATGAATTTCGTATTTTTGTAGTGTTTTCATACATAACTCTGGGGCAGAATAAATAGATTGCATGTTTTTATCCATTGTGTTTCTGTATTTTATTGGTTCATGGTTGTTTTTGTCTATTTGTTGAAATTTGAAAACATGAAGTGTTGCTAATTTCATACTTGCGCCATTTTGTGAAGTAGTCTAGTCATACCTGGGTTTTCTGCTGATTCTTTTGTTTAGGACCAAAATTAAATTTCTGAGCAGAGTAGTTCTTCCTTTATACGTATTCATAGTGAGATAGGAAACCTAGAACTTGTTTCTTTCAATATTAAATACTACGCTGTAAGAAAAAGTGTGTTATATGTGCTTTAGGTATTTTATCTACAGTTCAATTGGTTTGTGCTCCATCCTATTTCTTGATGCTGGTAATAAAGCAAAAGAAATAGGTGCCTGAAACACCTTAAGCACCATGTGTTAATGCAGGAATTGTAGAATTTGAAAAATAAGCAATTTGTAAAGTTACTGTGTTCTTTGTTTTGTTTAGACCCAGCAACAAATAGCAGTTCAAGGACAACAGGTAGCACAAGCAGCTGAAGGCCAGACCATAGTCTATCAGCCAGTTAATGCTGATGGAACCATTCTCCAACAAGGTATGAGCTTTGGTGTGAAAGTCAGGACTTCTCAATATCTCTTCGATAGGTTTTTATTGCCTTGTAATTATTGTCAAAGAAAACATTGAGTTGCAATGCTGGTAGTGCTGTGAGTGCTGTGATAAGAATTGTTGGCATAGAGAATGGAAGAAGAGATGTTTATGTTACTATACAGGAATTCAGTCTGTGGTTCTTTCCCCAGAAAAATAAAAAATGGCTCTTTTCTTTGGCAAGGGCTATTACAAAAGAAACGCTTAAGTTTGCTTTTACACCTTAGAGTATATGATCTCTTATCTGACACTGGGATTACTTGTGCAGATACAAATGCAAAAAATAGGAAGTATAAGGACCAGGTGATGGAATTTATTTAATAACTTACAATACTTTTCTGAATCTTTTTGCATGTTATGGAAGGATGAATGAGTAAAAAACAGAAGTGGGACTAATGGTGTTCCCTTCTTTTTGTGTGCGTGTTTTTGGTTTTGGTTTTTTTTTTTTTTTTGTGTGTGTGTTTTATTTTCTTAAAGTTACAGTCCCTGTTACAGGCATGATCACCATTCCAGCAGCCAGTTTGGCTGGAGCACAAATTGTCCAAACGGGAGCCAACACCAATACAACCAGTAGTGGACAAGGGACTGTCACGGTGACGTTGCCAGTTGCTGGAAATGTTGTCAATTCAGGTGGAATGGTTATGGTATGTATTTAACTTTCCATTGATATTTATAAAGATTGACGTTTAAGATGTCAGTACACAAACTGTTGTCTGAGATTCATGTTACCTTAATATGGTCAGTCTTCTCAGTAGCTACCATTAGTTTAAAGTTTAAACAATATAAGTTTTCAGTTTTAATGGTCTGTGTCCTATTGTGATCTATGTACTCTGTACTTTCCCACAGTAGATTATTGAGTTCAGAAATCTAGAAACGGAAGTTCAAAATAAGCTGTTAACTGATAAGCAGAGGTTTAAAAAGATTGAATCAACTAATGCTTTTCTTGAGGATCCCTTAGTATTTGTTTCTTTGATTCATGAGGGCTTTTTCTGCCAATTCTTATTTCTTTGTAGTGAGGCCTTTTAACTTGAATTTTATTGTTCGTCCCCACTAGATGTCAGCAGCTCTACAAGTAATATTTGCTTACAAAAATTATCTGAAATTATCATATAAATTAAATAAGTGATAACCAAAAAGAAAGGGAAGCAATGGGCATGTCCTGTATGCTTAATTGTACAAGAAGCAGTAACATGGTCATAGAATTGTATATTGTATTGAAATTGTACCATTGTCAGAAAAAAAGAAGCACGACTTACAAGTAATTGATTTAAGTCTGTTCTGCAGTTTGAGAACAACTTTATTACTCCTTTTTATTTAAGTAGATGCATTATCTGAACAAAACCCAAACACTTTCCCTTTTAAAGTTTTTTTTTAAACTACTTTTTTGCATTTACTTTGTGTTCTGAGCTACAAGTACTAAAAACATACTCTCTTTACAGATGGTACCTGGAGCTGGATCAGTACCAGCTATCCAGAGAATACCTTTGCCTGGAGCAGAGATGCTGGAAGAAGAGCCCCTCTATGTAAATGCCAAGCAGTATCACCGGATCCTTAAGAGAAGGCAGGCACGTGCTAAGCTTGAAGCGGAGGGAAAAATTCCCAAAGAAAGAAGGGTGAGAATATAACTCAGATCTAATACAGGGTTGCTCTATGAGAAAGGCACAGAAAACCACCTGTGCTGGAAAATGGGGACTAGAATCTTAAAGTATTCTTCAATTTTTTTTTTATTTTTTTTTTTTTCCCCCATGAGCTACATCAGAACAATTTTTTTAAGTCCCTTGGTGGCAGTCCTGTTTCCTTTGCATGCCTTTAATTGTTGAATTTGTATGTAGCTGTATTGCAAATGGGCATTTACTGTAAACACTTTCTCCTCAGGCAAAGGGGAAGGATGGGGATTGGCTAGTGGTCAGGAATTTTCCCTACTGAAAGTACTGAATTTGAAATAGAAGGCTAGTCTCTCATTACCACCTTCATATTGTTGCAGAAATACTTGCATGAATCTCGGCATCGTCATGCCATGGCCAGGAAGCGGGGAGAAGGTGGACGTTTCTTCTCACCAAAGGAAAAAGACAGCCCTCATATGCAGGTAAGTAGAATTTTATCTGTTCTTTGGACAACTGCCACTTTCAGTTCTTCAGAATACACTTCAGAGGTGTCTTTGTACTATTTTGTTTGTTCTTTTTTGGGCTAGGCTGCTGACCTTTGTCCCGCTCTGCCTTTGAATTTATGTTTCAGGCATTGTAAAGAAACCTTCTGTCTCACTTCTCATAGAGAGCAAGTGTCTATTTGCCTTGAGTAATTAAATCATAGTAATATTGATAGAAATGTACTCACTTTGTTTTACAAACAGAGAATGTATTTTTTTGTCCTAAGAAATACAGTCTTTGCAGGCTTTCTGGTTGCATACCAGAAGTACTTTTTTAGGACATGAATTAAAGGTAGAGACACCACCTGATGGAAAGTTAACAAATGTGAATATCTGATTCTTAGCTGCATATTGATTTACATTAAAAGTACAAGACAGGTTTTCCAAGGAAGGGACACAACAGGGTAGAATTACCAAATTCTGTTGTTGATTAGTGCTTTAAAGCAGTCCTGTAGCTTTAGCAGAAGAATATTTCTTATCCTGAAGTAGAATCCTTCCCAAATCCTAGACCTGTACTAGGTCTTCCCTATTACCAGAAACAACACATTACTAGAAACTATTAAGATTTATATATCCCATTCTCTACACTGGCCTGTAAAACTCGGGAAAAATATGGTATGTTTAGAGATCAAGGGAGGAGGCAGGAGTATCTCCTCTTGATAGCTGTGTGTGAATCTCTCTGCTGTTACGGAAAAATGTTGAAGTTACAACATGGTATGTATTTTGTATCTGTAGGATCCAACTCAGGCCAATGAAGAAGCAATGACACAGATGATCAGAGTCTCCTAACCACTGCTTAAAGAAAAAAAATAACTGAATAGAATTCCCGTCCCTTCTGCAAGTCTGTCCTACCTTTCCAGTGTATCAAGCGAGTCTTTCAATGGGACAATCACCATATCACAGCCTATCCTTTTCTACAGAACACACACCACATTTTCAGTATGTGGTCAAGATTTTAACTGCAGTTGACTCAACAGATAGAAACTTAACGACTTTATTGGTATATTGTTCTGATCCAGCACAAGGATTTCAGAGTCTGACTGCTCATGCCTTTTTCTTCTTCTTTTAAACATCTCTTGCATTAAGATTGGCCATGGGTGAGAGTGTGCCACTGACTCAGTGATCAGCAATAACTCTGGCACGCTGAAGCAGGGCCAGCAAAGACCTCTTGGAGTTATGGCCCTTCTGTACAGAGACATAATCCAGTTTATAGCAACCAGCACTGACGTGGCTATACCACAGTACTTTGTTTTCCCAGCAGAGACTTGTTATTTACATTCACTCCTTACACCTTTGGACTTTATTGTCAACTGAACTGTTCCCTGTTGTTGCATCTGCACTTCTGAAACTGGCAGAAACTGAAAGGGGATTGTTTTAAGTTCCACCTTGTAAAATATGTAAACAGCAAGCTCTTCTCTGGGAAAAGTTCCGCCATCCAGTCAAAATGATAGAAATATTTCAAGATTATTACAGGACTTGATATATTGTGTATCGGTTCCAAGAAGTAAGACGGGAGAGGGTGTTGTGGGGATAAGGATTTAATTAGTAAAAGCAATCTCTGGGTGGTTTTTAGTGTGTTTACTGCCAGTAGTTGTTGCTTTGGAAGAAAAGTTGATGCTAGCATAAAAAGGATTAAAAGTTTTGAGTGAGTCCCTTCCAAAGGATTTTTTTTTTTTTTTTAAAAAAAAATCTTCCTTCTAACCTGCCAGTCCAGTGCATGGTTCCTGCAGAAGACACAAAATCTGCAATCTCAGAGCGATAGCACTTGACCCTCTTTGTGACGGTGTTTCTTGATGTCTGTTCTAAATCAGTTCTACAATTCTTTCATTCTACACAGAGTGAGGGATCATTCATGACAGCAGAAGCACAGGGCAACTCATCTTACCCTGATGCAACTGAAGGATTGTTAAACAAATGAAGGCAGGTATTGATGAACCGATGAACCTTTCAGGCTTTTTATAGACTATCCTCTTTAAATTAAAAAAAAAAAAAAAAGTAGCACTTAATGAAGGAGGAGTACTTACATTTTAAAAAAAATTATTTTTTCATGACCTATAGCTGGCTTCTGGCTGAGTATCTCGACAAAACATATCTTTATCTCTAGTTCCATAGCTCATTACAGATTTTAAGCTTGCTCCATTCTTACTACTCTGAAATTTGGTGATGGAAGCTGTAGTTCATAACATTTTAACAGGTGATACTTGCATCTTTCCATGCTTGTCTCCTCCCATCTTGAATGAGTTTTACAGATGCTCTGTGTATCATATCACCAGCCTGCTGTAGTCCCATCTCTTCCAATTTTTGTGTTCTGTAGTTAAAACATAAAACTGCATCATGGCAGTTAAGCATGGGATTGGAAATATTGCCAGGCATTGTCACTGAGGGAGGTGATTATGAACGTGAGTAGGTAAAGTTGCAGAGGCTGAGGTGTTTTTGAGGAAAGCAGCCAAGGATGGGTGAGACTGGTTTAAATTCAGTGAACTCTGTTTTCAAGTGACAAAAAAAGTAAATGCAACTTGAAAATACAACCCATATTATCTCCCCGCTATGTTTTTAGCATTTACTGAAAGCTTATGACTAAATGCAAAATGGAGGACAAATTAGCAGGTTGTAGAAGACTGGGAGGATACAAAAAGACAGAGCCTGGAAAATTCTGTTTATTTTGGATAAAAGAAAAAAAATACTAGACCTAAGAGTATGAGAAGATGGGAAGGAATGCAAGAGGAGGGAGCAGAAATGTGGAGAAATGTCAGATTCTAGATTGCCAGCAGACAATCTTGGAGGAAGGCTATGCCTGTCTAGATACTAAGGATGACAATGTTTAGGTCCACCACCTGTGGGGAGGTATGTAGCCAGTGAAAGAACAAAGAAAAAAATGCAGATTTGTTATTTGTAGGTAGGCAGCTGGATTTTCTATATGGAGTTCAGTTCATTTTTCTGAATTTTTAGTTCCATGTTCTTACCCTTACCACAGCTGACATGGTGAACTAAAGCTGAGAAAGAAGTTGTTTGACACACAGTGACACCTGCAGCTATGGGAGGAGGTGGCCTAGTTCTTGACATGCAAATAAATCTTTCTTTCGATTTTGTCTGAAGTTATATTAGTAATCTAATGCTCTGTTCACAAATCTTACATTAGGATTTTTTTTCTAATGATTTAAAAGGCATTTGTTTACCTCCATTGCATTGATGGCATCTTTGGTGCCTTTGGTTGCTTCTGCCTTAAAATACTTGGCCAATTAGAGCATGGTGCTTATTTTCTTCAGTTGGCGACTATGAAATCCTCACCTAGCATTTCTTGTGAGGTCACCCATTTCAGGAAATATGTAGCTCTCTTTTAGTGAAGGAATAACACAAAATTTGCTTTAGATTAATTTGCAGCATTATTGTAAATATTTTTTTTAGAGCATCTGTACATTTTGTCAGTGCAGTATTCATGTACTGGAGGAATATTTCTGTGCTGGAGTAAGACAGCCTCTCTATAACGTTTCTGCTCTTCAGCTGATGGCTAATCTCTGTCCTGGAGAACCCCCTCTGAGAGTTGGAAGTTAGGGAAGCAAGATTATTGCTCTGACATAGGTTTGTTGGGTTTTTTTTAATGAGTAATGACTCCTTGAAGAACTTGTAAACTTCTTCAAAACAGCTAGAATGTTTTTCCCAGTAAGCCCTTCATATATAGGTTCTCCAATCCGTTGTTGTAGAATGTGTATTAAGACCTATGGATTTGTGTTATATAGGAAGTCTTATCGTTAATACTTTAAATAGTGATGTGAAAGCCTGAGTGCTACTGTCATATTTTTTTCATTTGCTTTGGGTTATGTGTATCACTTCTAAAAGTAGTGTTTGCTTGGCGAGATTGGAGTTATTGGTCAGCACCACGTTACCAAAAAAGTCTGCTTTCTTTTCCTGGGTAAATTTGTTAAATTGGAGATGTCATCAAGTTCAAACCTCTCTAGTAATTAAATGAGAATTCTTTGTGGATTGGATACATTTGAGCAAAAACTCCACTTTAGGAGTGCATAAAAGAATGGATGAGGCTAAAAGAAGAGGCTCGGGGAGAAACGTGGTCGATTGACCCAGAGAGCACTGGAGCGGCGAACCGATCAAAAACCAGTTTTATATGAGTGTAAAGAATGGGATGTGGAAAATGGTCCTCAAGTGATGCTAAATGGCTTTAAGGCCTTGCATGTTAAAAGGGGGGGAGGGGGGGGATCTTTTCTTTGTGAATGGGTGTGGGAGGGTACTGAGATTAATGTAATGTAAGGCAAAGTTTGTATATAGTTAAAAGTTTATAATTTTTTTTATATGATGCATTTTTTCAAGTGTATTTTGGTCTTTAATAGATGCAATTGTAAGTACTGTGTACACTATCCAGCTAATAAAAATTTATAAACCAAGAACAAGCTTTGGCTCTGTTTTTCAGACCTTCTGCTCTTTTCAGTCAAGTGGCAGCAGTGACATGGAGCGGTGAGGGCAGGCAGTGGTTTTAGCACTGCTCAGAAACGCCTAGGTAGCCAGTGAGCTTTCCTGCCCTCCATGAGGGCAGCTCAGCCTCCAGCCTGGGGGACATCTGGGTGCATCTGCTGCTCTTCAGCTCTGTGGAGAAGGGCCTGGACATCTTGGTGCTCATCTTCCCCTCCATCCCCATCCCGCCATTTTGCTGCCTGAGGGAATTGCTCTGCCCGCCCTTGGGGCCTGGCTGCTGGTGAGTGCTGGAAGCTGACTGGCTGAGGGAAGCTGGGATGTCCCAACATGGGTTCCGATTGGATGGCTATTGCTTTGGGTCACCTCTGATTGGCTGGTGAAGAGGGCCTCCATCTTGCCCTGCTGCTCTTCCTCACAGGCTGAAGTAGTGCCTCAAGATGGTGGCTGTAGGGTGGTTTGCATGCAGGAGCTGGGTTGCCGGAGAAAGGGCTGCAGGAAGGATGGAAGAAGGCCTTGCCTCTCAGCTCTGAGCCCAGGGAAGCTGCTGTGATGTGCTTGGAGTTGGGAAATGGCCTCACTGAGCTGGGGGAAGGAAGGAAGGCAGGCTTCTTTGAGCCAGCTGGTGTTGCTTTGGTATGTCCTTTGAGTGTGAGGAAAATGTTTGATGAGTCTGGGGTGGGAGGAAAGAGGATGCACTGCAATTTTTGTTTGAAAGAAAAAATTATCATTCTAATAATGAAGAGGAATATGCCCAATAGTCATACTATGTCCTGTCCACAGCTAGTCAGCATAATGCTCAGCGTGCCTCAGTGTCGTTTCACTCTCTTTGCATGCTTGCTGCAGGGTTCATTGCATTGAGTAATTATCCCTGAAAGGCCATGCCGAAGAATCCAGTGATTATATAGAAGCTGCCCTGGAGCACAGGGAGTGTCCTATGGGTGCAGTGGTAGATCTGTACAGAGTTGTATAAGTGTAAGAGATGACAATCCAACATCATGTTACCTGAATGCTCTTCCTTGTAAGACATTCATTCCTTTATATTCTTGATTACCTTCCAGGAAGGTGATTTCTTCTTGTCCCCAAATTCCCAAGTATCATTTCATTATCTTTTTTGGCCAAACATGACTGAATGGACACCCTTGGAAAGAGTTTTATTTCTTGTGTTTTGGCCCAAAAGGAGGGTTTCCTCTTAAGAGGACTGGGCAGGCTTTGAAAGGTTTAAGAGATAGCTCCATGTCTGCCTGCTAATCCCTCTCAGGCATGCTGTTTCTTCCACATGTGCTGTTCAGGATCTCTCAGCAGTATCGTAACTTAAACATTCACTACAATAATCAAGGCTGAGGTCTCGCACTGTTAGCCAATCTTTGTGTGGTATGAAATAGTTGTATGTTGTAGTATTGTTGACAGTTCCTGTGTACGTTTACAGTTTGCAAAGCTCTTTGGGTTAACAGCAGCCATAAAAAAGCAAAACATTACATCTGCCTTTTTTTTTCCCCTGTGTTCTTGGGATGGGCACGCTTTTAGAAGGGATACACTGAACTTCACAGGTATTTGTAGCTATATGCTATCTTGAAAGAACACTAGTCACTGCTGTAGTTCAGGGGGCCTGGTTTTGCCCTCACTGGTGCAAAAGGATCTCTCTGCTAGCAGAGGTTGAAAGCAGACATGAATGTCACTAGCTGGCAACAAACAGAACAAAAAAGGCAAGTTCTACCCCAAACACTTGTGTGTGTTTCTCCTGCAGTGGATGCCTTAATAGTGCTTTCCAAGTGAACCAACTGTGAGTGACATCTTTACGCTAGCTGTAAAACAGCTTGGAAATACTGGATGAGTTTGTATTTAGCTACACTGAAGTGGTCTCAGAGATCCAATGGAAAATTGGTGTGTACTTCTAATGCCAGATACAATGGGGCATAACCATACTGCCTATGTTAAGTGTTGAAATTACAAGGATGCTGCACCCATAGGTGAGATGGAAGTTCCTCTAGCAGGCAGTTCAGAGCATCCAGTTAGGTCCTGCTGATTGGAAATATCTTCTGAAGGTGCCTTTTTCCCTCTGCCAAATGTACAGGATCTGGCCTCCTAACTCAGACTCTGTTGTTAGGTGCTGCAAAACCCTCACATGCTGGCAGTTAGTGTGGGTCCTGAAGAAAGCTGGCCTGGTTTTCTGTCACTGCATTGCTGGCAGCTTTGCAATCATGGTGAAATGCAGAAATGCTGGAAGTGTGATTGTTGGCAAATAGAGCG